CGCACGCCGATAACGAGGCGTCGCGTCGCGTCACCTCGCGTCGCGTCGGTGGACTCGACGCACGTGTCCAGCACCGGCTCGTCACGCGACGCATCGATGCAAGATTCGCGGGATCGCAAGGTCGGATCTCTCCCGTGCGAACCGACTGTTGCCCGTTATCGCCCCGTATCGATTTATAGCTTTACCGAGGACCAACGAAATTACTGTCCGCTACGAAACCTGTCATTTTCGAGAAATAGCCGGTTAGTACGGTTTTCAATATTTCAGCGAGGAACGAAGATACTTCGAATGGCTCGCGCGACGCGGTATTTCGCGAAAGTCGCGTAATAACCGTTGTTCGCGAGTATGCTACTCGTCCCGTGGTTTCTCCTCGCGTTCTTCGGGTTCGCGATCGCGTGCGACGACTCGTTCGCGCGACTGATCCGCGACGTCGTCGGTCCGCTCGTTCCGGCTGTAACGGTGTCGGCGTATCTGTGCCGACTCGACGAAGGTAAGCGAACCAGCGGAATTACGCAACGTTCGCGATCGTAGGTGTACGATCTTAACGAGACCAACTCGTTCTTCGAGTTACGCGTGTCCGCTGCAATTACGCGCCTTCTATTCTCTCTTTCTCTTTCGCAGATGACGCGCTCGTTGTATCCAATCGCTTGTCCAGCCACGGTCTGATGCACGAAATTCGTTCGAATTCGCAAAGATTCCCGTCGATCGCACCGGATCCTTGGGATCATCGGCGATTATACGTGCTGGATCTCGACTGCGATTACGCGGATTCGCTGTTACGAGCGGTACGTCTCGATTACGCGCGCTCTTTCCACGAACAACGGGCTAACAATTTAATTGGTCTATCAGCTATCTGTTGTTATCGACACACCTTCCATTCTTCTAGACGCTATAACGAAGAGATAAACAAATTAATCGATAACGAGCAAACTTTCAAGATAAAACCAATTACATTTTCATATTCGGTAGCGAATTTTGCGATAGCGAGTATCGCGTATCACGTTTCGGATTAGCGCGCATTTTCTCCCAACACTCGAGACTTTAAACTAAAGAACGTGATCCTTGCCCGTTCTCGTTTCGCGTTAATCGAGTAGCACGTGTTAATTAATCTTTTGATTAAGCGACGTTCGGTATCTTCGTATCTTCGCCGAGATATCGGCTCGCGATTAAGTGAAAAACGAGGAAACAAAAGAGCATTCTAAATGATGAATCGTCGCATTTTCTTGAAAAATTCATATCCGCCTTAATCCCCGATAAAACTTGCGAGAAGCACGCGCCTGCTGCCAGTCATGGCGTTAAACGCATCGGTATGTTTGCGTTAAAAAGAAAAACATCTCGTATTTGCACGGTCGCGAACAGTACGAATTCGCTCGCGTTTATTCGTTCGTTATTGCCAGTACAAAAGCGGGATGGCTATTTACATTTTTCCATCGAGAACCTACTGGACTGATTAACGAGTACTGGTAACGGAAAGATACGAGAATTCGAGAAAGAAGAACGGATACGACCATCGACGTGTCGCGTAAACGATCCATCGTTTTACCTTACGTTACGCGATACCGAATAGAACTGTGACTATCGGTATCGATAAACGTTCGTAATACCGGAATGTCATCGATAATACAAAAGCAGAGACGATTCGATTCTAATGTAACGCGTGATCGATTAATCGCTCGAATGTATTTGCCTTTGTCACGGTTTTTCTTCCGTATCTTTCTTCGCATAGAATTTTTACTATTACTAGAACTTTTCAACGTAATAGTTCACTCGAAACGGAATAAATAAACTTTGATATTAAATCATAAGGTATATTATTAGCGATATACGAGTCCGCGACGGTATCTTAACGCGTTAATTAATATCGGTATACAAGAATTAATGCGTGTATCGATAAACGATGAACTTTGATATCGTCGCATCGAGAACGAAGGATCGTCGTTGATTCGCAGGCGAACGCGAGCGGTATGTTCGTCGCGCCGACCAGATGGCTTTTGATTCGAGATCGAACGCTTCTCGTCGACAACTCGACCGAGAATCGCCGATTATACAACGACGTGGCGGAAACGTTTAAACGTTTAAACGTTTATCCCGATAGCGAGGTGATTCTGGCAACCATGCTGCGGCAGGATTTCGCGGAAATAACGTCTGTCTACAGGGTTAGCCGGTATCACGACGTCACGATAGAGAATCGAGGAAACTGGTCGCTCAAAAGCGGCGTTCGAGTCCCAGATTTTCTGCCAACCTCCAGACGACGAGCGAACCTTCAACGAACGTCCTTGACGGCCTGTCTCGTGGTACTTACGAATCTGTTTTTTGCCTCGCCGAAAAAAAACTTGGATCGTGAACAATACGATTAGAAGCATTCGATCGACTCGCGATAAGATAGCGGTAACGAATTATGATTAGAAACAAAGAGCGAGCCGATCGAAAGAAACGCGTCTCGAATCGAATTGTCATGTTACCTCGAGTATTCTCTTCCTAGATGGGCGATCCCGATACGATCAACCACTTGACCGATTTCGAACACAAGCACGTAGACGCAGTGACCAAGTCCAATTATCCCTGGTTGATGCACATCGTGAATCGTCTGAACGTGACGTGAGTATCCTTTGTCGTTTTAACAGACGCGATCCGAGGATCGCGTACGCGGCCGAAACTCATCGACCGGACCCGCCATTCACGATCGACAGCATCGACATTCGCGTAACAGACAGCTGGGGATATCAAAGCGAAAACGGATCGTGGAACGGCATGGTTGGTATGCTGCAAAGGCGGGAAGTCGATTTAGGAGGCACGGCGATGTTCTTGGTTAAGCAACGAATCGGCATAATCGATTACGTGCAGCTCTACACGCATACCAAGTAAGCTGTCTACGCGATGCTGTATTCTTATAACAGTGACGGGTAACTGTGCGGTTACCGATGAGTAATCGATTACTCGGTTCGACGCTAGGCATCTCTATTATTCAAAATGTTCGTATCCACAAATCTTGAACATACTAAATCCTCGAATTGCAAAACTATAGAAAATTCCGGATAAGACGCTCGTCGGCGGCCACAGGATACATCCATCACTGTTTCACACGTTATTCACGGTATACGATAACCTTGTTTCATTTTCGTAAACCCGTACGAGACAGTTCAAGGTTCATATTTCGTCAACCGTTACTGTCGACGATCAGTAACATATTCGCGTTGCCGTTCCGACGCTCCGTCTGGCTCGCGATTGCCGCCTTTCTGACGCTCGTGGTTTTCATGCTCTACTTATCCTCCGAGTGGGAATATCGTCGCGGAATGTCTAACAGCGAATCCGCGATCGCGTACCGACAACGAACGATTCCGACGCAACAGACGCTCGCCGACAATCTGATGATGGTGCTGGCCGCCGCTGGTCAACAAGGTGAGTATATCGTGTATTAAACCGACGCGACGATCGATGCAGAATAGTCCGATCGATACAGGATACACGTACGAGCCGTATCGCGTTCCATCCCGGATCGTCACCCTGATGCTCCTGCTTGCCGCACTGAGCTTGTACACCTCTTACACGGCCAACATCGTCGCCCTGCTTCAATCGACCACCGACTCCATCAAAACTCTGGCCGACTTGTTGCACAGCCCGTTGAAGTGTGGCGTCTACGACGTCGTCTACAACCGCTATTACTTGAAGGTGCCGCTAACGATCGCGCGTTCGTCGTGGCAATTTAACGGAACTTTTGTCTCGTCGTACAGACGTTCCAGGATCCGATACGAATGGCCCTGGTGGAACAAAAGATCGAACAAAAGGGTAAGAACGATTCCTGGATGTCGATGGAGGAAGGTGTTCGTCGTATAAAAAACGAACTGTTCGCGTTTCACGGGGAAATGGGCTCGATTTACGATCTTATGGAACAGACGTATCAAGAGGATGAAAAATGTGGGATTACCGAGATCAATCTGCTGAACGTGAATGATCCGCTTTTCGTGATTCAGCGACGATCGCCGTACAAGGAAATCGTGACGAACGCGTAAGTTGGTCGCCTTCGCCGCCACCGTATTCTCGCAACGAACGATTTTCAGGGCTCTTCTGTTGAGAGAGGCTGGTCTGACTTATCGAGAGGAGTCTCGACTATACACGACGAAACCCAAGTGCCACGGTCAGACGAACGTTATCAGTATAGGGTTCACCGAGTGCTATTTCGCGTTTTTAGCCATGGGTTATGGAACGCTTTTCAGTCTGATCGTGCTCGCCGCGGAGTTTCTCTGGCACCGCAGGTACGTGTCAACGTAACAGCCTGCTCGATACAATTTAGATCGTTACATCGTTAGATCGTATATCGCAGACGAGGGTGGTCGAGAAACGGCGACGAAGCCTCGAACGCTCGACCGACAAACGGTGAGCCGACGGTTGATCGGGGCGACGATCCGGAGACGGTATTCGAGCAACGGGAATTCGATTGGGATTCGGTAAACCCGTAAAACTACAACCTGAAACGGACGAACGTTCTTCCCTCGATGCGCGATAAAACGGATTAACCGCGAGCCGGTAAAAAGTGTTGATAGTAATTCTTGGTAAATTCTAGCATCAGGTCGAGCGTGCACTCTGGTAGATCCTCCACGTATTTCGCAGGATTGCCGGCCAAACGGGTAAACGGGGGAACTACGGTCTCTGGGGGGATCACGGCTCCGTCCTCGATGTAACAACAGTCCTTCAGGACGCACCTCCTTCCCTGCACAATGGAACAAGCACGCTCGTTTTATCGACGTAACGTCGCATTAATCCCAGATGTACGCATAGAATAAACCGAGTTATTAGTACGTACAATCACTGCATTTTTTCCTATGTATATGTAGGAACCGATGATAGCCGCGTTCACCACTGCTCGTTCTCCCACGAACACGTGGTCCCCCATTGCCAGAGGAAAGAAGGCGACACTGAAAAAATTAAACAAACAAACCATTCGCCATTCCGCTTGGCCTTGTCGCATCGTAGTCGCGCAACAGGATATTTGCGACAGTACACCGACAGTACCAACCCTTTGCTAAACTTCTTAAACGGTGGTCTTATAATGGCATTCTTGCTAATGATGCAGTAACGTCCCGTTCTAACGTTCGCCAGATCACCTCTGATAATAGCATCCGACTGCACGATCACTTTTCCATGCAAAACAATGTTCTGTGAACCGCAGAGGACCGTCTGCCTGCTTACTTTGTTTCCCGAAGCCTAAAATATTCGTGTATAACGAGAGGTTAGGTTCTTCGATTTATCATCCAACGCATTTCTCATCGTTTCCTTACCGTTTCGACGTACTCTGCTCTGCTATAATACGCGTCCTGAGGTTCCATATTATTTCGGGACCGTGTGCGCCTCGAATAAACAAACTGCCAACAAACTTGACGATTTCTGTCAAAAGTCACGTACGGTTATATCGCCGAGACGACGAGGATGCAACCGGTGATGCCCCCTGTCGGATCGCGTGCACGTTAACCCGAAGGATTTTGCCATCTGTCGACGAGCACTTGAAGCGTTAGGTCCGTGGCGCTCACGTTCGATTAGATTCCTAATCGACAGTATTCCTAAATGAAATACCTAAAGGAAAAATATTGGTTGAAACCGATACATTCTGAAATTTTCTCAATTTTCAACTACACAGGACATTTTGTAAAAAGAACGCTTATTTTCACGTGCTTTTATATCGCAGCGCCGTTACTCGTGGTCACTGTACAAAATATTTCTTAAGACGATATCCGCCCTCCTCGGCTCTCTCTTAGAGCTTTACGATTCGCGTACCGTTATCGGAAGTCTGCTCGAAGCACAGACTACTGGGTTATAGCGGATCGAATTAATAACGAATCCGCCGGTGAGTCGAATGTTTTGAATCCGCGACGCCATAGCAACCAAAGGGGTAGACGAGGTAGGCGGTACCGAGGTATCATCAGGTAATTCCTTTTTCTTGGTAAAGTCGTGACGACGACGAAACGACAATGTCTCTGTTCAAAACGAAAGAATGGTGGCGAACTAGATGCGGGGCAGACGAGTCTTTCGATGGACACAGTCTACTGGCGACGCCATTGTTCGGGGACGATAGAAAAGATGTGTTAGTGGTTGGAAGCCACGATGGTTATTTGAGAATGTATTGTCCTTCCTCGCAATGGATGGACGAAACGAAATCGCCGACCAACTACAAGTCTACGGACCAGATGATCGAGACTCGAATCGGAGATTGCATCGTCGACATGAAAACGGGGAAATTCGTCTCGTAAGTAGTTTCCAATTTCGAAAGTTTGCCACTTTTTAATATCGCGATGTTAATAACGCCCCACTTCCGAATCCGAATGTTTCTAGAGGTTCCCAGGATTTACGTCTGGCAATACTAACGTCCTCGAAGCTACTCGTGTACAACGCGATTTTAACCGACGAATCGACAGAATACGGTAATGACCATGGTCGATACGAAGTTAAAATCGAGCACGCGAAACGACGCGCGAACAGAAGCGCGTTACTACGATCGATTTGAATTTCGACGCGTTCGGAACAGCTGTCTGTGTCTAACGACGAAACCATCGGTATTTTTCCATCAGGGGACCGTTGCGACTTAAAGATCGCCTACGAACACGCTTTACCAAGATTTCCAGCATGCCTGACGGTGGGTCCGTTTGGCGGAGTCCGCGGCAGGGACTTTCTCTGCGTTCAATGCTTGGACGGCACGCTTCTGTTCTACGAGCAAGAGGTGTTCGCGTTCGGACAGGTTCTCAGGAATCGGTTGCTACCCGAGCCGATCGTCTACGTATCCCGATACGACTTGTTCGTGGTAGCCGGCTCATCTTGGTTCCTCGAATGTTACAGGCAGGGACGGTTTCGACTGTCGTACAGAGAGTACGATAAATCGGTGTACAGCGAGGATAATTTTTCAGGTACCAGAGCATGGCGGAGTCGAGGGGAGAAGGCACGGAACGATCGGGAGAGACGAGCGAGTCCCATCGGGGCTTCGAAGCAGGCAACCTGGAGCCGGATTGGAGTTTCAACGTCGGAGAACCCGTTCGCGGTATCGAAGCTGTTACTTTGAGCAGCTTCGAGGTTGGGATCGTGGTTCTCGGCGAGAAACACCTGTACTGTTTGAAGGACAACTGCGCGGCGATCAAGTACGCCAAGAGGCTCGAGTACGAACCGCTGTGTTTTCGAGCTTACGTGATCGGTAATTAAATAAGCATCGTTGAAAAACTATACGAAGAGATTAATAGGAATTAACTAGATCCCAGGAGTGTCGGAACGAAATAAATAAACTTGATTTTTCAACGTTCGACGGCATAGCGGCCTCTTGCAGCGGGATCGAGATCACCGATTAGGAAGGGAAGCTAATCGATCGCGATTCTTTTCAGAACCGGACGGGAAATTGATGGTGCTGGTAATCTCCGACACGAGCACTCTGATGATTTACGAGGGCAGCGCGCTCAAGTGGTCGGCACAGCTGCCTTTTGCCCCGGTCGCTGTCGCGAGAGTTCAACTTCGGGTGAGTTCGCGATACTCGACCTCTCGTCGAGTGTTAGGAAGGTGGTCCCGTCCAGAAGGCGAAGGAAGCTCGGTTTCTCGGACGCGAGATTAACCGGAAACATCGCGATCAGCGAGAAAGGGTAATCGGAGCGCGAAAAAGGACAAACGGCGTCGGCAATTATCGCGACCGCGTTATCTCTCGGTTATCGTGGCGCGCGCAAGGTTGCCGTTCTCGTCTTTCCGGAAGATAGAGGAGCCGCGAACGCGCTTGGCTACCGTCGATTAATTGCCCCGATACCGAGAAACCCTGTTATCGATGTCGGTCCAGCTGGGAGCAAAAAATTAGCCGAATCTACCGGTATACCTATGATTTCGACAGCACCTGCAGGGGGCGATCGTCGTCCTGTCGGAGGACGGTCGTTTGGAGGCGTGTTACCTGGGTTCGGAGCCGAGCTTGTTCGTCGCGCCGCCGCTTCATCCACGCGGATACGATTACGCGGCTGCGGAGGAACGACTCGCGGAATTGCGAGCCCTCTCGAAAACGAGCAAAGAATCTGGTAAGAGCTACGACGGATCAGACTATGTACGGATAACTTTAATCGATCGTCGGTTCGCACAGGTCAGGATCGAAGCAGCGACGCCACCGTGGACGCGGAGTTGATAGTCTCGGTGAACGTCTCGCCGGAGCTGCAACCGCGCGCGACGCGATCCGAAACCACGAACGATTCGTTGCCGGAAGAGGAAACGGAACTTGGACATCCATCGAGCTGCAGGATCTCGATCGAACTGTCCTCGTATGCCGCTCTCCGAGACGTTCAGGTCTCCGTGGATGTCCGTCGACCGCTGATCGTCTCCAAAGATTTTTACGCGATTTCTAATTTCCGTGAGTGATCCTCCAGCGATTTTCTCGCGTTCAGGTTCTATCCTCCTTTGTAACTTGTCCTCTGTCCTCCTTCGTAGGCGATCGTCACGCGACGGAGATCGAAGTCTACGTGGACGGAGATTGGCCTGCGATATCCTCGGAAGTCGAGGTAACCGTGACTTATCGGACGGACAACGGTAACCTCAGGACACATCGAAAAACGGCTCGATTACCGTTGAAGATGATCCTGAGGAGTTGTCCACCGGAGAATGCGGCTACGTTCGCGACCGTGATCAAGAGCAACGACCCTCCCGTCAGTTTTGGTCAGCTGTTTCCCGGTAAATTACTCTCTCTTTCCCCTCTGATTTTCTCGCTGGAAATTACGGTGCGGACCTTTTGCCCTCGGAGCCCGATAGTTACCCTTGGCGGACCGCTCTTTCTTTTTCTTCGTACGCGCCGAAAGCGTAATCGATGCACCTGGCCGATTTCTGACCGCGTAACGAGCGTTTCGTTAAGTTAATCGCGGTCGAAGAACGTACGATCTAACCGATATCCGATCGGACCGGATAAAATATATTATCCAAGACGAAACGGTCGCATATACGTCTAGAAACACGCATTTTACGGCACACGTGTTTTTAGCTAATACCACGAAATTTTTGGCCGAATACAACCGTTTCGTAGACCGAAGAAAAGTAACGCGGTGCACCTCCGTTTCACAGAATTCGCCGAAAATCAGACACGGAAGCAGGGTTTGAACGCGTTGGGATTGCGATACGTGCACACCGGTCGCGTGGTTACGATCGTTTCCGGCAACGCCAGCAACCGATACCGCGTGCAATCGAACGACGGACCATCGACGACCTTGGTCGTTCAGCTACTGATCGACAGGCTGAGAGAGAGAAGCAGCGGGAGCGGATTCGCGAGCATCCAACAGAATCACGTTCAACTGGTGCACCTTTGGATAGAGGCTCACTTTCTCGCTCGACGAGAATTCGATAGGATAACGGTGCGTTCTTTTGTCTCTCCCTTTTTCTCCCTCTTCGTCGCAATTTCATTCCGCGACCGACGTTTTCGTTCGCGCAAACAGAAGGAGATCGGTTTGCTGACCACTCAGCTGAGGAACGTCGAAAGGAGGATGTTACGGACGGTGAGGGAGAGAAACGAGCGATCGTTGGCCGACACCGGATTGCCGTTTCTCTTCGAGCAGACCTGCCACGCGATCTTTGCTCTTCTCGAGGAACTCGCCGTAGCGAGAGCGGTAAAGCAAAACGACCTCGAAAAGTCGCAAGCTCCTTGATCGCGAACACGATACGCACAATTATTGCAGGAACGGGATCGAACCGCTCACGAGCTGCGGTGTAGCTTGAAACTGTTGCTGCTGTTGGTTCGATCGAACGCGGATCGCGACAAGTACGCCGCGCTGGAGGCAGCGATCGGCTTCGAGCCGCGACCGGCGGAACAGTTGGTAAGCGAAATCGTAATTACGCGACTGCTCGACAACGAACGCTAACGATTCGTTTCGATTTCCTTCAGGACTGGGAGGAGATCGCCGACGCGGCGTTGACCAACCTGCTCGAGAACGTTTCGAGAAAATCAGCCGTAACGGAGACGAAGACCGTGTTCCGCAACGGCATCGCGCCTATCGCTACGAGCAAAGAGTTGGCGAAACTAAAGAAACGTCTGGTCCGCGCGATCGAGCGACTCGACGTTTCCAGAGGATCGGACATCGCGGAGATCGAGCCGGGCAGCGGCAACGATCTCGCGTCCGCTTAACGATCGATCGGCCAACGAAGCGCGCTTCCTCGATTTCCTCGTTCGAGCATCGTGGAAATCGAGCGAACGCGGAAAACGCGTCCGTTGAAAGCGAACGGCGGCGAACACTCGGCGGAGAAGGTTACGTAAGTGCGCGTATCTTTGCGGCTGGGATAATTTTATTCGATGCGCGGTCTATGGCCTGCCATCCACGATCCAACTCGCGGCATACCGATCCGACTCGTACGCGTGGAAACGCGCGGCTCGAATCGCCGTCTCGCGATGATTCATTCTGGCGCCGTGATTCTGCTTTTCCGAGGTTAATCGATGGAAGAATCGCCGGCCGAGAGATCCGCCTTCGTCGCGGAACCAACGACAGTGCGCTCCTTGTTTCGATCGGTATTTTCTTCTTCCGCTTGTTTTTCTCTTTCAGCCCGACGACAGTCCCCGAAATACAGAATTCGAGTAATTTTTTCGATCGGATGCTTCTCGATCGTACACGCGCAACTCGATAAATTGCTCGTCGAAACGCAGAAACGTTGCGTAAACGGCAGCAAGCGGTTTATCGCGACGCTCTTTCGAGCTTTCGGTCGAGGTCGATTCGCGGAACGAATGTTCCTGGTCGGAAGCGACGCGTTAGAGGAAAGACCGCATCCTCGATGAGACAACCACCGACAAACAAACTCGCGCCAGTCTTTCCGTTTCCTTCCTTTTTTATAGTCGGAGCTGGCGCGCGTGCACGTACGCGCTTCGCCAGCGATTACGCGGAAATACAACCGCGACTTCGCAATCGTCCTTCCTGGAAGAACGGACGGTACGACGTCGACGACGACGCTCTCGACTCGCTTCGATCCTCGGTTGTTCTCGGTCGGAGAAATAGTCGCGCGATCGACGGCGACCGAGGGGAGCGTGCACCGCGTACGCGAATCGCCTCGAATCGTTACCGCCTCCGGAAGTAATTGATTGCGAGCGCCGCTAATTAGTTTGCCAGGCCGATAATGCTCGCGCCTCTTTGCCTGGCCGATCGAGAACGCCTGGCTGCCAGTTCCTTCGTCTCGCTCTCTGTCTCGTCGCGGTCGAACCGCGCCTACACCCACGCCTCTCTCGCTCTTTCTCTCGCGAGTATCCCTCTACCCCGCGTTTCGGCAGTTCAAGCAGGATACGTCGTTTCCTGAAACGCGATCGAGATTACGGCCGAACCGTACGCCGCAACCTTCCTTTTTCACGCTCGAGATTAGGTCGTTCGACCGGCGACGCGACCACCTCGAGAATCCTCGATCGAAACCGAGCGCGATCGCCTCGAGACGAAACGTTATCGATTTTCGGCATTCGACAGGAGGATAAAGCTCGTCGACGGCGCGGATGATTTAAAAGCGGACCACCTTGCCGAATCGGCG